GAAGACATGTAGGAGAATATGGAAGGACATCTCTCGGCATCTCTCTCTCTCTCTCCCCTCTCCTCAGAGGTCAGTGCAGCGCTCCTGCTTGCTGTAATGGTCGAACTGGCTCTTCCAATGCATCATGTAGGAGGACCAGCGATGGAACTCCACCTTCCACTGACGCTCTGCCTCGTCTATGTTATCTGGGGAGGAAGAGAGAGCGAGAGAGAGGGGAGAGAGAGGGGAGAGAAAGAGAGGGGAGAGAGGTAAGAGAGAGAGAGAGGGGGGAGAGAGAGAGAAAGAGAGAGAGAGAGGGGGGAGGGGAGAGAGAGAGAGAGAGGAGAGAGGGGACAGAGAGAGAGAGAGAGGGGAGAGAGAGGGGGGGGGGAGAGGGGAGAGAGAAAGAGAGACAGAAAGAGAGAGAGGGGAGAGAGAAAGAGAGACAGAGAGAGAGAGATTACTACAAGTGAAAGACAGTGACCACTCTCACCCACAGATGGAATCACACACTATCAGTCACAGATGGAATCACACACTATCAGTCACAGATGGAATCACACACTATCAGTCACAGAGTCATAGTCAGAGAGGAACCCAGGGTGGGAGACCCTGTTTATCCGACCAGAGGTCATAGGTTAGGGGTCAGAGGATTACCAGACATGTTTCACACAGATCTCTAACATTAACACACAGTGATTTTTGGTATACAAACATGGATCACACACAGAACACACACACACACACACACTGACGAAGGAGGAGGGAATTCTAATGAAGGAGGAGGGAATACTGATGAAGGAGAAGGAAATACTGATGAAGGAGGAGGAAATAATGATGAAGGAGGAGGGAATACTGATGAAGGAGGAGGGAATACTGATGAAGGAGAAGGAAATACTGATGAAGGAGGAGGGAATACTGATGAAGGAGGAGGAAATACTGATGAAGGAGGAGGGAATACTGATGAAGGAGAAGGAAATACTGATGAAGGAGGAGGGAATACTGATGAAGGAGGAGGGAATACTGATGAAGGAGGAGGAAATACTGATGAAGGAGGAGGGAATACTGATGAAGGAGGAGGAAATACTGATGAAGGAGGAGGGAATACTGATGAAGGAGGAGGAAATACTGATGAGGGAGGAGGGAATACTGATGAAGGAGGAGGAAATACTGATGAAGGAGGAGGGAATACTGATGAAGGAGGAGGAAATACTGATGAAGGAGGAGGGAATACTGATGAAGGAGGAGGAAATGAAGGGGAGATTAAATAGGAGTTGTAAATGAAAGATGAAAATAGAAAGATGAGAATGATTTAAAATACCAAAAAAAATACGTAACTTAAGAAAATAACTATAAAAAACGAAGCATAATGTGATAAAACGATATTAGCTAAAAGATAAGAGAATTCTGATTGAAAGGGGAACGGGTGCTGAAGTCAACAATAGAAAGCCTAAATTAACAGGGACCAGAGTAAAAGGCCCTAGAATGAGTTCAATAAGGTCTGGGCATCGGTGATGTCATAGAAGAGTGGAAGGCCCAGAGGAGTTCCGTGATTCTCTTCATCCTGCTAACCTTTCTTCATCCTGCTAACCTATGGGCCCTGGTCAAAAGTAGTGCACTATATAGAGATTAGGGTTCCATTTGGGATAATAATATGCCATTTAGCAGACGCTTTTTATCCAAAGCGACTTACAGTCATGCGTGCATACATTTTTTTGTGTATGGGTGGTCCCGGGGATCGAACCCACTACCTTGGCGTTACAAGCGCCGTGCTCTACCAGCTGAGCTACAGAGGATGCAATCAGTGCTTAATTTGAGACGGATCCTGCCGGAAACAGGATCCGGCACCTCTCCGTTATGGACTGTTTTGTTCCAGAACCTATTTGGCCGGATCCTGTACCTCTTCCTGGCATGAAAAATAATTCACTTTTTTCAATATAAAAATTATAATAAAAGCGATCAAAGTTCATTCGAGTTGCCTCTTCGTTAATTCTCCTGCCCCCACAAAAAAACGTTGTGTCGAAAAAGTCGATTCGGTTTGGGCCGGCCCGGGTTTATGGTTTGCGCAACATTATTATTATTATTATTATAATTATAATTATTATTATTATTATTATTATTGTAACCCATGTTTGAGACCAACACGTGGCCGTGGCTGTGTGAAGCGCGCTAGTATCTTTCACATAACTAGAATGAGATTAACTTTCTATGATCTCTCTCCTCTCTCTGCTCTGATAGACATGAGCCTGCAACTCTCATCTCTCCAGCGTTGCACTTCATCATTTATTTCCTTATAGAATCACAGTGAAGGGTTCTGGAGGAACTGCAGCACCCTGGATACATTGAAATACATTTGACAAAGTTATAGAATTACTGCTGTCTGTTCAGAAATAAATGAAATCATTCAGAATAGCCTACTACACCATGAGAAGGCCTACAATTTAACCACTGGGGATTAATAGCTTAAAAAAAAATATATATATATAGCCTAGTTGTGGATTGTAGCCCAATAACAAGGAATAGCCTACAGTCGGGAACGCGCGGCAAATCTGTCTGTGAAAAAACATGCAGACAAAACAGGCCTTTCGCAATATTTCAAATACAATTGAGGGAAAACACAGGTTGGAAAGCAAATGGCTCCTGCTGAAAAGTGAAGACTCTATGCTGTAGGCTACCAAAATATTTGATCAATTTCCAAATATTGTTTTACAAAAGAGAGAGAGAGAGAGAGGCTTTTGGCACGAGCACATTGGCCACCACCAGTGAGTGAGATGCGCATCATTGGGTGAGTCAGTGAAACTGGAAAGCATGTTTAGGACTATAACTTCCTCCTCATATTGTAGCCTACAATATGTCTCCACACACTTAGGCATAGGCTATTGATGGATTCAAGACTAGGTCGTTTTCATTGATCTCAGATTCTCAGTTTGCCAGTGTCAAAGTAGCCTGTCATTTCGATAATTTGTGCTGTATTAAAAAAAGATTCTGCCAAAGTCACCAGTCATGTAAAACGACGTAAAATGACGTAGAATTGAATGAAATGCATTTATAAAAGGCCACATTTTTCCCAGATCCAACTTCTTTAAGTGCCTCTACTCTACTGCTCAATGTCACTACGCAAATGAGATGATATGCATGCAATGCTTTATTATAAAGGTGATTTATTTTTCTAATGCGGTCCGGTACCTCAGAACTCCCCAGGTCACCCCCCTCTCGCGCTCACTTTTTGTTCCGGCACCTCCCGATTTACAATTTAACCACTGGATGCAACGTATGGCTCCCGAGAACGCATGCATGGCATATAGAATCCGGAACTAACCTTAAAGTCTATGACATCATTGTCCTACACTTCTTCATCCAATCTGACTCTGGGTCAGTTTAGCAGGAAGGGGTGTAGCTATAGTTTGCAATACTGACCATGAACAAAGTTCCACTGCAAAACCAAACAATCCACATCATCTCACCCCCTCCCCGGTCTCTCTCTCCCCCCGCTCTCTTGCCCCTTCTCTCTCGCTCTCTCTTCTCTCGCCCCCCTCTATCTCTCCTGTCTCAGTTATTTTTATAGTTCTGTCAGTCAGTTGAGTCTTTTCCCTGTAAAAGACAGTTAGCTGCACAGAGCTCCCTCAGAATATTAATTAACCCTCTGTATGAATCAGTTGAATATACAGTACCAGTCAAAAGTTTGGACACACCTACTCATTCCAGGGTTTTTCTTTATTTTTACTATTTTCTACATTGTAGAATAATAGTGAAGACATCAAAACAATGAAATAACACATATGGAATCATGTAGTAACCAAAAAAGTGTTAAACAAATCAAAATATATTTGAGATTTGAGATTCTTCAAAGTAGCCACCCTTTGCCTTGATGACAGCTTTGCACACTATTGGCATTCTCTCAACCAGATTCATGAGGTAGTCACCTGGAATGCATTTCAATTAACAGGTGTGCCTTGTTAAAAAGTTAATTTGTGGAATTTCTTTCCTTGTTAATGTGTTTGAGCCAATCAGTTGTGTTGTGACAAGGTAGGGGTGGTATACAGAAGATAGCCCTATTTGGTAAAAGACCAAGTCCATATTATGGCAAGAACAGCTCAAATAAGCAAAGAGAAACGACAGTCCATCATTACTTTAAGACATGAAGGTCAATCCGGAAAATGTGAAGAACTTTGAAGGTTTCTTCAAGTGCAGTCGCATAAACCATCAAGCGCTATGATGAAACTGGCTCTCATGAGGACCGCCACAGGAATGGAAGACCCAGAGTTACCTCTGCTGCAGAGGATAAGTTCATTAGTGTTACCAGCCTCAGAAATTGCAGCCCAAATAAATGCTTCACAGAGTTCAAGTAACAGACACATCTCAACATCAACTGTTCAGAGGAGACTGCGTGAATCAGGCCTTCATGGTCGAATTGCTGCAAAGAAACCACTACTAAAGGATACCAATAAGAAGAAGAGACTTGCTTGGGTCAAGAAACACGAGCAATGGACATTAGACCGGTGGAAATCTGTCCAAATGTGAGATTTCTGCTTCCAACTGCCGTGTCTTTGTGAGACGCAGAGTAGGTGAACGGATGATCTCCGCATGTGTGGTTCCCACCGTGAAGCATGGAGGAGGAGGTGTGATGATGTGGGGGTGTTTTGCTGATGACACTGTCTGTGATTTATTTAGAATTCAATTAATATGTGGGAACTCCTTCAAGACTGTTGGAAAAGCATTCTAGGTGACTACCTCATGAAGCTGGTTGAGAGAATGCCAAGAGTGTGCAAAGCTGTCATCAAGGTAAAGGGTGGCTATTTTGAAGAATCTAAAATCTAAAATATATTTTGATTTGTTTAACACGTTTTTGGTTACTACATGATTCCATATGTGTTATTTCATAGTTTTGATGTCGAAAATAGTAAAAATAAAGAAAAACCCTTGAATGAGTAGGTGTGTCCAAACTTTTGACTGGTACTGTATACTTGCAGCCCAATAATTAGTTCAATAATGAATATGCGTGCGTGTGTAACCCCCTTACCGGTGATATTGAGGAGGCGTGGCAGAAAGCGGTTCCAGAATGCACACAGCTGGTTCCGCAGGCCCTTGTGGATCTTTAGAGATTCTGTGTTCAGACCCACGTGTTTTTGCTCACTGTTGGTGAACTGGGGCCACCTCCGCCTGCTATCCACACTGCCGTCAAAATTGATGTTGGGGTTACTGGAGAGAGAGGTGGAAGAGGGTGGAAGGAGGGAGTCAGAGAGAGAGAGAAAGAAAGAGAATAGATGAGGGTTGGACAGCTTTCAGTGTGCTTCCATAGACAGACATACACCCTATACCCTTTAACCCTTCTCTCTCGCTCGCTCTCTCTCTCTCGCTCTCTCTCTCCCTCTTTCTCTCTCTTTCTCTCCCCCTCTCCCCCTCTTTCTCACTCTCTCCCCCTCTTTCTCTCTCTCTCTCTCTTCGCTCTCTTTCTATCCCGCCCGCCCTCACTCTCTCTCTCTTACCCGGTGCGTGCGAAGTTAGCCCAGTATCTCATCATGCGTCGGCTCAGTTTCTCCTCCTCGGCTGTGTAGTTGAGTCTCTTCTCCAGGGGCATGCCGAACACAAACTCTATCTCGTAACCATGGATAACGCCCATCCACTCAGGCCACGCCAGGTTAGACGCACGGTGGTCAAACAGGTAGAGGTAAACTCCAGCTAGAGAGCATAGAATGAAATAGGACACCAGAATGAATCCCTGACCACTTCATTCACGGTAAGTCGCTAGCTAATACTTGTTTGTGTCTAACTAGCTATGTGTATTGCCTGTGTAAACCTGGAGATTCCACCAAGTAGGTGTAGATATTGCCATAGGCTACTTTGGGCCATTTGGTAAGGTTGTCTCCCCAGCTGGTCTCCGGCAAGTTGAAAGGACATATAGGCAAGCCAAAAATAATCAACTTTTCTAGATACCTAGACCGTTCAAGGGCAGGCAAAGACTGGAAGTAGTTACGCGGCAAATCTAAGACTAGCAAATTAGATCGAGATTAACTTCTCTTGCTAGCCAGCCAGCTAACGTCAGTTAACCAGCGAAAAAGCTAGGGGTAAACAAACAGTGACGTAAGTATAATGAAACAGCTATACTAGCTTTACTGTCAGTGTTAGCAGGTCAGTATAATGTGACAGCTTTACTGTCAGTGTTAGCAGGTCAGTATAATGAGACAGCTTTACTTGCTTTACTGTCAGTGTTAGCAGGTCAGTATAATGAGACAGCTTTACTTGCTTTACTGTCAGTGTTAGCAGGTCAGTATAATGAGACAGCTTTACTTGCTTTACTGTCAGTGTTAGCAGGTCAGTATAATGAGACAGCTTTACTGTCAGTGTTAGCAGGTCAGTATAATGAGACAGCTTTACTGTCAGTGTTAGCAGGTCAGTATAATGAGACAGCTTTACTTGCTTTACTGTCAGTGTTAGCAGGTCAGTATAATGAGACAGCTTTACTGTCAGTGTTAGCAGGTCAGTATAATGAGACAGCTTTACTAGCTTTACTGTCAGTGTTAGCAGGTCAGTATAATGAGACAGCTTTACTTGCTTTACTGTCAGTGTTAGCAGGTCAGTATAATGAGACAGCTTTACTGTCAGTGTTAGCAGGTCAGTATATTGAGACAGCTTTACTGTCAGTGTTAGCAGGTCAGTATAATGAGACAGCTTTACTTGCTTTACTGTCAGTGTTAGCAGGTCAGTATAATGAGACAGCTTTACTTGCTTTACTGTCAGTGTTAGCAGGTCAGTATAATGAGACAGCTTTACTGTCAGTGTTAGCAGGTCAGTATAATGAGACAGCTTTACTTGCTTTACTGTCAGTGTTAGCAGGTCAGTATAATGAGACAGCTTTACTGTCAGTGTTAGCAGGTCAGTATAATGAGACAGCTTTACTTAGCTTTACTGTCAGTGTTAGCAGGTCAGTATAATGTGACAGCTTTCTAGCTTGCTTACTGTCAGTGTTAGCAGGTCAGTATAATGTGACAGCTTTCCTGCTTTACTGTCAGTGTTAGCAGGTCAGTATAATGTGACAGCTTTACTGTGTGTTAGCAGGTCAGTTAATGTGACGTTCAGCTTATTAGGTTAGCAGGTCAGTAATGTGACAGTTTACTGTCAGTGTTAGCAGGTCAGTATAATGAGACAGATTTACTGTCAGTGTTAGCAGGTCAGTTAATGAGACAGTTTACTGTCAGTGTTAGCAGGTCAGTATAATGTGCAGTTACAGTTTACTGTCAGTGTTAGCAGGTCAGTATAATGAGACAGCATTTACTGTCAGTGTTAGCAGGTCAGTATAATGAGACAGCTATTACTGTCAGTGTTAGCAGGTCAGTATAATGGACAGCTTTATGTCAGTGTTAGCAGGTCAGTATAATGGACACTAGCTTTACTGTCAGTGTTAGCAGGTCAGTATAAGAGACAGCTTTACTGTCAGTGTTAGCAGGTCAGTATAATGAGACAGCTTTACTGTCAGTGTTAGCAGGTCAGTATAATGTGACAGCTTTACTGTCAGTGTTCAGCAGGTCAGTAAGTTAATGAGACAGCTTTACTGTCAGTGTTAGCAGGTCAGTATAATGAGACAGCTTTACTTCAGTGTTAGCAGGTCGTAATGAGACAGTTTACTGTCAGTGTTAGCAGGTCAGTATAATGAGACAGCATTTACTGTCAGTGTTAGCAGGTCAGTATAATGTGACAGCTGTTACTGTCAGTGTTAGCAGGTCAGTATAATGAGACAGCTTTACTGTCAGTGTTAGCAGGTCAGTATAATGTGACAGCTTTCTGCTTAGCTTAATGGTCAGTGTTAGCAGGTCAGGTCATAAATGAGACAGCTTTACTGTCAGTGTTAGCAGGTCAGTATAATGAGACAGCTTTACTAGCTTTACTGTCAGTGTTAGCAGGTCAGTATAATGAGACAGATTTACTGTCAGTGTTAGCAGGTCAGTATAATGAGACAGCTTTACTGTCAGTGTTAGCAGGTCAGTATAATGTGACAGCTTTCCTAGCTTTACTGTCAGTGTTAGCAGGTCAGTATAATGAGACAGCTTTACTGTCAGTGTTAGCAGGTCAGTATAATGAGACAGCTTTACTGTCAGTGTTAGCAGGTCAGTATAATGTGACAGCTTTACTGTCAGTGTTAGCAGGTCAGTATAATGAGACAGCTTTACTGTCAGTGTTAGCAGGTCAGTATAATGTGACAGCTTTCCTAGCTTTACTGTCAGTGTTAGCAGGTCAGTATAATGAGACAGCTTTACTGTCAGTGTTAGCAGGTCAGTATAATGAGACAGCTTTACTGTCAGTGTTAGCAGGTCAGTATAATGTGACAGCTTTACTGTCAGTGTTAGCAGGTCAGTATAATGAGACAGCTTTACTGTCAGTGTTAGCAGGTCAGTATAATGAGAAGCAGACGTCTTAATAGACTTTACTGTCAGTGTTAGCAGGTCAGTATAATGAGACAGCTTTACTGTCAGTGTTAGCAGGTCAGTATAATGTGACAGCTTTACTGTCAGTGTTAGCAGGTCAGTATAATGTGACAGCTTTACTGTCAGTGTTAGCAGGTCAGTATAATGTGACAGCTTTACTAGCTTTACTGTCAGTGTTAGCAGGTCAGTATAATGAGACAAGCTTTACTGTCAGTGTTAGCAGGTCAGTATAATGAGACAGCTTTACTGAGCTTTAACTGTCAGTGTTAGCAAGGTCAGTATAATGAGACAGCTTTACTGTCAGTGTTAGCAGGTCAGTATAATGAGACAGCTTTACTGTCAGTGTTAGCAGGTCAGTATAATGGACAGCTTACTGTCAGTGTTAGCAGGTCGTATAATGAGACAGCTTACTGTCAGTGTTAGCAGGTCAGTATAATGAGACAGCTTTACTGTCAGTGTTAGCAGGTCAGTATAATGAGACAGCTTTACGTCAGTGTTAGCAGGTCATAATGTACAGCTTTACGTCAGTGTTAGCAGGTCAGTATAATGAGACAGCTTTACTGTCAGTGTTAGCAGGTCAGTATAATGAGACAGCTTTACTGTCAGTGTTAGCAGGTCAGTATAATGTGACAGCTTTACTGTCAGTGTTAGCAGGTCAGTATAATGAGACAGCTTTACTGTCAGTGTTAGCAGGTCAGTATAATGAGACAGCTTTACTAGCTTTACTGTCAGTGTTAGCAGGTCAGTATAATGAGACAGCTTTACTGTCAGTGTTAGCAGGTCAGTATAATGTGACAGCTTTACTGTCAGTGTTAGCAGGTCAGTATAATGTGACAGCTTTACTTGCTTATCAGTGTTAGCAGGTCAGTATAATGTGACAGTCCTATTTACTGTCAGTGTTAGCAGGTCAGTATAATTGAACAGCTTTACTGTCAGTGTTAGCAGGTCAGTATAATGAGACAGCTTTACTGCTTTACTGTCAGTGTTAGCAGGTCAGTATAATGAGACGCTTTACTGTCAGTGTTAGCAGGTCAGTATAATTGTACAGCTTTACTGTCAGTTGTTAGCAGGTCAGTTATAATTCGTGACAGCTTTACTGTTCAGTGTTAGGCAGGTCAGTATAATGTGACAGCTTTACTGTCAGTGGTTAGCAGGTCAGTATAATTGACCAGCTTTCCTAGCCTTTACTGTCAGTGTTTTAGCACAGGTCAGTATAATGAGACAGATTTACTGTCCGTGTTAGCAGGTCAGTATAATGTGACAGCTTTAATGTCAGTGTTAGCACGTGTCAGTATTAATGAGACAGCTTACTGTCCCAAGTGTTAGCAGGTCAGTATAATGAGACAGCTTTACTAGCTTTTACTGCTCAGTGTTAGCCAAGCGTCAGTATAATGAGACAGCTTTACTTGCTTTACTGTCAGTGTTAGCAAGGTCAGTATAATGAGACAGCTTTACGTCAGTGTTACAGGTCAGTATTTATAATGACAGCTTACTGTCAGTGTTGGACAGCTTTCCTTGCTTTACGTCAGTGTAGCAGGTCGGGTAACACAGTGGCAGCATACGTATCATGCAAATAATTTGTTGTTGTGCCAAGTATGTTAATAACGACACGTGATGCTGCTGAAAATGTTTATTGAAACGACAGTTTACTTAGGATGACGCCAAAGTTAGGCTAATTACATGGGAGTACCCTACGTCTGTACCCTACTCGGGGGCGTGGTCACCTTAAGCCACGCAGGTATCAAACATATTCATGCCAGTAGACTTCTGATTGGCCAGCTCATCCTCCTCAGGAGCAGGAAATAGCAAGCATTTTTTTAACGTCTGTTTGTGATACAAGTTTAAGGTGGGGTTTTAAAAAAAAATCTCACATTTTTGCTTTGCCACAAATAAGAGTATAGGATGAGCCAACAACATTATTTGGGTATGAGGTAACATAATATGAACTTTTAAAAGTGAGATTTTCACTGGACAGTTACTTTAAAAACCAATCAAGACATGAAATAACATATTTGAAAAACATTCATGAACCATTCTTACCTTGTGAGTTCCCGTCCTTGGTCATGGCCCCAGCGTTACCTGCCTGTTGTCCATTGTTGGCACCCAGGTTAGAGTGGAACTGGGAGTATGTCCTGGCAAAGTGCTGCAGGGGGCAGATGACATTATGGTCTCCGACCACGTCATCCAGGGAGTCTCGGTTCTTTGCTCCGTTGTTCTCATCGAACCAGTCAGTGTACTGCAACACAATAAAACTTTATTAGACCGGTATTCAAACCGGGGACCTTTATACAACACAACTTTATTAGACCGGTATTCAAACCGGGGACCTTTATACAGCACAACTTTATTAGACCGGTATTCAAACCGGGGACCTTTATACAACACAACTTTATTAGACCGGTATTCAAACCTGGGACCTTTATACAACACAACTTTATTAGACCGGTATTCAAACCGGGGACCTTTATACAACACAACTTTATTAGACTGGTATTCAAACCGGGGACCTTTATACAACACAACTTTATTAGACCGGTATTCAAACCTGGGACCTTTATACAACACAACTTTATTAGACCGGTATTCAAACCGGGGACCTTTATACAGCACAACTTTATTAGACAGGTATTCGAACCTGGAACCTTTATACAACACAACTTTATTAGACCAGTATTCAAACCGGGTACCTTTATACAACACAACTTTATTAGACCGGTATTCAAACCGGGGACTTTAATTCAACACAACTTTATTAGACCAGTATTCAAACCGGGGACCTTTATACAACACAACTTTATTAGACCGGTATTCAAACCGGGGACCTTTATACAGCACAACTTTATTAGACCGGTATTCAAACCGGGGACCTTTATACAACACAACTTTATTAGACCGGTATTCAAACCTGGGACCTTTATACAACACAACTTTATTAGACCGGTATTCAAACCGGGGACCTTTATACAACACAACTTTATTAGACTGGTATTCAAACCGGGGACCTTTATACAACACAACTTTATTAGACCGGTATTCAAACCTGGGACCTTTATACAACACAACTTTATTAGACCGGTATTCAAACCGGGGACCTTTATACAGCACAACTTTATTAGACAGGTATTCGAACCTGGGACCTTTATACAACACAACTTTATTAGACCGGTATTCAAACCGGTACCTTTATACAACACAACTTTATTAGACCGGTATTCAAACCGGGGACCTTTATACAACACAACTTTATTAGACAGGTATTCGAACCTGGAACCTTTATACAACACAACTTTATTCGACCGGTATTCAAACCGGGGACCTTTATACAACACAACTTTATTAGACCGGTATTCGAACCTGGGACCTTTATACAACACAACTTTATTAGACCGGTATTCGAACCTGGGACCTTCATACAACACAACTTTATTAGACCGGTATTCGAACTGGGCACCTTTATACAACACAACTTTATTCGACCGGTATTCGAACCGGGCACCTTTTATACAACACAACTTTATTAGACCGGTATACGAACCGGGGACCTTTATACAACACAACTTTATTAGACCGGTATTCAAACCGGGGACCTTTATACAACACAACTTTATTAGACTTGTATTCAAACCGGGGACCTTTATACAACACAACTTTATTAGACTATTTGTTTCACTAATCACACACATCCAGCAACTCTCAAGTTGCCAGATCAATTCAAACTTTTTTTCAGCGCCCGGCTCACCCAGGATTCGAACCAGCAACCTGCTGGTCCACCTACCTGCAGCACCACAGCCTCCTGGCCGATTTCGTTGGCGTGCGGGACACTCAGCTTCACGCTCTCCAGGAAGTCCTCACGGGAGATTAACGACTCGTTGTCCTATGGAGTGCCAATGAAAGATTAGGGTGGAATTGTATCAGTGTCAGTGGAGCGCATACACACACACACACACACACACACACACTAGGGCTGTGACGATACTAGTATCACAATATATTTTCCATGGCAAAAATGAAAACACGAAGCAGAACAAACTCTTTGGTCTTGTTTGAAAGTTTGAAACCTGCTGTATGTAAATTATTGTGTGCTATAGCTTGGAAAATAAATAAATGTGTCTCTGGATGACAACATAATGATGTTTGTTTCCAACATTAGGGCTGTTTTCCTAAAGAAGTTAAATCTGATTTGTGTTTTGTTTCCTTGCAACGATACTAATGAGTATCGCGATACTGGTATCGTCACGGCCCTAACACACACACACACACACCTTGCTGAAGCCGGGGGCTCCGTAGAGGAGGAAGAAGGAGCCCTCATCCTGGTTGACTCCCAGCAGGATTTGGGTGTCTTTGATGTTGCCTGATGACAGCATGGCCTCTGGGTTGTCAGGAAGGACCACGCCATCGATGACCGGCACGAAGGAGAAACGGAAGATGGCCGACCATGGCATGACCTGGAAAAAAAGGTAAATAATATCAAATAAACCATAGGCACCCTATTCACTATATAACTTTACTACTTAATAATGATAAAATATAAATTTCAAAACCTTGACTGTTTATTTCTCTATTTAGCCTAATTGAGAACACATTCCTTAAAAAAGTAAAACATAAAAGTAAAATGAAAAGTTTAAATGCACATGTAAACAAACATTTTAAAGTAAAATATGCATATATACATATAAAGGTAAACATAAATGCAAAGCTTTATGCAAATGTTTTAACTTTGCGTAAAACGTAAATATAAAGGTACACATAAATGTACAACTTTACGTAAAACGTAAATGTAAATTACCTGCCACTCCTGGTCGATGAGGTCCTGGGGGGGCTTGTTACGGAGACAGTCCACCAGCTCTGTGTTGTTACCCCCAGAGGGACAGCCCACCAGCTTCCCCAACATGGCTGCCCTCCGCTGGGCTTCAGCGGGTGTAACAGTGGCCCAGGGACAGTTGGGGACTCCACTCTGGAGGATGGCTCGGGTGAAGGTGGGGCGACTATCTGGAGACAGGAGGTGCATCCCCACAGAGACTGCTCCGGCACTCTCCCCAAAGATGGTCACCTGGGAGTAGTAGTAGTAGTAGTAGTAGTAGTAGTTCATAATATTAATATTGAATTTGTAGAGAGCATCTCCCAAGCACGCAGGCACAAGCGCACACACAAACTCTTTATTATCATTACCTGCTTGGGGTTGCCCCCGAAGATATGTATGTTATCCTGGACCCACTGGAGGGCCATACGTTGGTCTAGGAGCCCCACGTTCCCAGGGGCCTCCGAGGAGCCACGAAGAGCCAGGAAACCAAAGGCCCCGACACGGTAGTTCATGGACACCACCACCACCCTCTCCGAGTTGGCCAGGTAACGTCCGTCGTACACATCCAGGGATGAGGAGCCACTATAGAACAATAGAACATTATTGTCCATATGTTACATGGAACTTTGTCTCTGGATAGAGAGCATGTTGTGTTTTGTTCATTTCTCACTCAGATATCATACACACCAAGCACCCCTGGATGGAGAGTATGTTGTGCTTTGCATAAGGGCACAATGGTAGTTAGGGGATTGTTGTTAGGATGTGAACCCAGCAGTCCTCTAGTTGCCAGATCAAACCCTCCAGTTACAGGCCCATCTCCTTAGCCCACTGGGCTACCTACCTGTAGAAGCCTCCACCGTAGATCCACACCATCACAGTGAGGTTGTGAGGTCTGGGGGAGGCCGGGACCCAGACGTTGAGGTAGAGGCAGTCCTCACTCATCTCCCTGTTGGAATCAAATCAAATCAAACTGTATTTATTAAACATTGTGCCCTTGCTAGGTACCATCACAACTGGTATAATCAAACTTTATTTCAAGAAGTCATTTTAAAACCACAAACACACTTTACAGTTAAATAATGAAAGGAAGTAAAATAGAAGAAAAGAGATGAATAAAATAACATTGAAACACAACGTATGTCCTAAATAGTGCACTGCTTTTGAACAGAGTCCTATGAGCCCTGGTCAAAAGTACTGCACTAAATAGGGAATATAGTGCATTTAGGGACGCAACCAGAGGATGTCTAAAACAATCAACCATTTGGGGTTACATATCTCGGAACACTGGAAAATGTCAAAGTAAATGTAAACCTGTTGGGGTTCCACATCTCAGATCCTTGGAACCCGGGGAAAGAGGTGTCAACGAACTGATAGCAGGCGTTGGGGTAGGAGCTAGCGTCAAACACGCCCAACCACGGCTTCTTGGGCTCCGCCTTACGGAAGCGCTTCTTGCCCAGCGGGGGCTCGGCGAATGGGATGCCAAGGAAAGCGGTCACGTGACTCCTGTCGGGCGTCGGTAGGCGGATGCCGCGTATGCTTCCTGCCTGCGTTGTGACGATGACTTCCGGAGAGTCGCTCTGGGAACAAGAGAGTGAGGCGAGGACTGAGAGGAGGAGCAAGACGGTGGAGGTCTTCATGATGTTGTTGTTGTCTGTGTTGTTTACTTCCTGGTTCTGGTTTCAGGTAGTTAGACGTTTGTGGTCTCTGTTCTGTCTTGAGTCCCTCAGATCTAGAGGAAGAGAGGGAGAGAGAGAGAGAGAGAGATAAATACAGATACATACGGAGGAAGAAAGAAATGAGGTTGGAAAAAGGGAGAGAGGGAGGCTTGAAAAAAGGGCGAGAGGGAGGCTTGGAAAAAGGGCGAGAGAGAGGCTTGGAAAAAGGGAGAGAGAGAGGCTTGGAAAAAGGGAGAGAGGGAGGCTTGGAAAAAGGGAGAGAGAGAGGCTTGGAAAAAGGGAGAGAGGGAGGCTTGGAAAAAGACAGTGGGACTTGATAGGGATTTACTAAGCGACTGCGTGAGGTTTAATAAGACAAGGGAAAGGAAATAACTTGAAGCAATATTCAATATTGAAGGAAAAGATGACACTGTAGGAGTCAAATGAATCAGACCAACTCAGCTGATAAGGCCGCAAGGATCTCTAAAACACACACCACACACGCGAGGTTGTAGGTTGTTGTTTATGTTTTGCGATGTGTGGTTGCCATAGCGACATGATTAGTTTGGGAGGCACATCGGGGATAGGGGTACATGACTTCCACTGCAGGTCTGTGTGTGTGTGGACTATTTCTGTTCTCCTCTGTCTTCACTGTATGTAGCTCTATTCTCGTGGTGTCACCTCTCTCCCGATCCCCTCACACGCACGCACGCACACACACATAAACCAACTGCTGCTGTACACGAATATGGCATCGTCACATACAGTACCAGTCAAAAGTTTGGACACACCTACTCATTCAAGGGTTTTTCTTTATATTTACTATTTTCTACATTGTAGAATAATAGTGAAGACATCACAACTATGAAATAACACATATGGAATCATATCGTAACCAAAAAAGTGTTAAACAAATCCAAATATATTTTAGATTTTAGATTCTTCAAAGTAGCCACCTTTTGCCTTGATGACAGATTTGCACACTCTCGGCATTCTCTCAACCAGCTTCATGAGGTAGTCACCTGGAATGCATTTCAATTAACAGGTGTGCCTTGTTAAAAAAGTTAATTTGTGGAATTTATTTCCTTATTAATGCGTTTGAGCCAATCAGTTGTGTTGTGACAAGGTAGGGGTGGTATACAGAAGATAGCCCTACATTTTACATTTTAGTCATTTAGCAGACGCACTTGGTAAAAGACCAAGTCCATATTATGGTAACAGCTCAAATAAGCAAAGAGAAATGACAGTCCATCATTACTTTAAGACAAGAACGTCAGTCAATCCGGAAAATTGGTATAAAAACATACTAAAATCACCAGGAATTCAGCTAAAAAATGTGTATAATTTAGGAAATCTGTTCCCAAGTATTCCTCCCTAAAAAACTAAAATACACGAGAGAGAGAGAGAGAGAGAGAGAGTAGGAAAGGGGGAGAGAAGAGGGGAGAGGGGGTGAGAGAGGTGTCCGTTCCTGAATTAGCTCCTGGAATCTGTGTATGAAGTTCACAGGGGGATATGTTTCAGTGTGGAGGCTTACACCGCTGTCATTTATACGTTGTATACACACACACGCGCTCTTCTCTCTCACTCGTTCACTCTCAGCCTCCCCTCTGTCTATCTCTTTCCCTCCCTCCATCTCTTTCCATCTCTCTCTTGTTCTCTGACTGAGCCTCAGCGTAACCTCTGTCTTGGTTGCTGTGGAAACACTGGGCCCATAAAATCTACTGAATCCACTATGTCTCCTGAGTGGCGCAGTGGTCTAAGGCACTGCATCGCAGTGCTAACTGTGCCACTAGAGATCCTGGTTCGAATCCAGGCTCTGTCGCAGCCGGCCGCGACCGGGAGACTCATGGGCGGCGCACAATTGGCCCAGCGTTGTCCAGGGTAGGGGAGGGAATGGCCGGCAGGGATGTAGCTCAGTTGACAGAGCATGGTGTTTGCAACGCCAGGGTTGTGGGTTCGATTCCCACGGGGGGCCAGTATAATAATATGTATTCACTAACTGTAAGTCGCTCTGGATAAGAGCGTCTGCTAAATGACTAAAATGTAAATGATGTCTCTTTAACTATCTTCCTTTCCTCCTCTCCTCTTCCATTTCTCTCTCTCTCTCTCATCCTATACACCACATGACCAAACGTATGTGGACACCGGCACGTCGAACATCTCATTCCAAAATCATGGGTATTACAGTTTTTCTCCATTGGTTTGGCTCATTTCTTGAAACAGAAATTACATTCTCAAAACTACATGGACAAACCTCCAAACCACTTGGCAATTGTTCACAACAGAATTGAATTTGTCATTCATTTCATCAAATTGCAAATGTCTAAGTACATGTCTCAATGTCTCAGTACATCTTTGCAAATGATTAAGTACAGGTAGCCTATATTTAGCACAATTTCCAAGTGAATAGATCTTGTTGATCTAAACTGATTGTTGATTCTCAGTCTAATGGTTGTTCGCTCCAAAACGTGTCAGCGTCATTTCATTGTATAAGTCATCACATGCACAATAGTCTGTTCAATTGTCAAAATTAGTCAAGAACATAATACCATGAATACCATATATGAATCCCTTGGAACATTTGATAAATTTATTACAGCAATTGACAGTCAGGTGAAACTAGAACTTGACTAACGAAGGAGGAGTTTCACACATCTCAGATGACCAATCAAACAGTATGTTTAGTTACCTGACAGGTGCTGTCCATGACTGTGAATGCTGCCAAACATGTATGTAAAGAGCTTGACCATGCAGGACCAGTACAATTTCTGAACATGGAGGCACCTGGCCAAGTAAATGAACAAGGGCAACTGCCTGCTCGAGGAAGAGGAAGAAGAAGAGGAGGAGGAGGAGTAAGGGTGCGTGGTGGTGGAATAGGGGGAAGAGGCCGAGGAGCACGAAGACACCATGCTGTCCCGGATGAAATTCGGGCCACAATTATAGACCATGTCATCAACCATGGCCTCACAATGGCGGAGGCAGGTCGCCGAGTGCAGCCTAATGTGCCTCGCTCAACAGTCTCCTCCATCATCCAAACCTTTCGCAGGGAAAACAGGTATGTAGTCAGTCAATGATGGAATTATATGTTGTATAGGACAGGACACTGTGCATAGAGCAAGAAATATATTTATTTACATATTTACCTATTCATTTAGTGTGTGTGTGTGATAGGCCTACAGTAATATCTTACCTCAATGGGATGTTATGATACTAAAAATGACAAGAAAAACATTGGAGAAAATAAACTATGGAATAGTTTATTTTCTACAGTATTGATGATACAGTTTACAGTAGTATTCCAGTCACTGTGCAGTGATGCATTAGAATTGTGGTAAAGTTACTGTAAGTAAAACAACAATACAATTACATAGGTAACTCATTCTGTAAGGAATACATAAGGTATACATTACGAATGGAGTGTTGTCCTTTGACTTCTATATCTAGGATTGGACGACAACCTTGCACAGGTGGCAGAGGAAAACTTCTCAATGAACAACAAGAACAAGAGATCTGTAACATGGTGATGGCAAATAATGCCATCACATTGAGACAGATCCGCGCTGCAATCCTACAAGACAATGCCATATTCCAAAATGTCAACTCTATAAGCATCTCCACAATAGACCGGATATTGAAGAAGCATCAGATGACAATGAAGCAAATTTACAGGGTACCATTTGAGAGGAACTCTGATAGAGTGAAAGAGCTGCGGTACCAGTATGTACATGTAAGTCAGTTACTGGTTGTCCATCATTATAACATTTTTACAATTAAGCAGTGGTTCCCAAACTTTTTTGGCTTCAGTACCCACTTTACCTGATTTGTGTATCCAGGTAATCCAGGTATGGAAGTATTTGATTTATCTGACTTCAACATTTCGCCTAAAAACTGCAGCTTACTGTATGATGCAATTATCATTATAATCCTTATTTTGAAGAATATAACATACAATAAGAAAAGGGGTCAAAGAGCTGCAATTAGTGCCTCCCATGTAAATCTATCTAATACTGTGGGTTTTACTGTAACATTTCAGTAAGTCTAGTCATTGATGATTTCCCCCCTCCCCTTTCTGTCAAATACCCCCTGTAGTACCTCTGCATAGGGGTACATGTACCCCAGGTTTGGAACCACTGGAGTAGTGGCCAGTAGTATATTGAACTTGTGGAGAACATAGAACATTCCTATGTAATTGTCTGTAACTGTAGTGTATGACTCTTCTGTATGACTGATTTGATGTTTTCTTTTTTTACGCTATTGTAGAGAATAATGGCATTGGAAGGAAACGAGACCCATCACATCCTCGTGTTTGTGGATGAAGCTGGCTTCAACCTGGCCAAGGGCCGAAGACGTGGCCGTAATATTATTGGCCACCGGGCCATGGTGGATGTCCCAGGCCAGCGAGGGGGCAATATAACTATGTGTGCTGCCATATCGGAGAATGGTGTGGCCACTCACATCCCCAGTCTTGGCCCATATAATACACAGAAGCTCCTCATCTTCTTGGACCGCCTTCATGTTGATTTGATCCCTGAAAATGAGAGCGGTCTCGTAGGGCCTCACCTACCACAATATGTCATTGTATGGGACAATGTGAATTTCCACCGTGGCCCGCTCATCAGGGCCTGGTTCACTACTCATCCAAGGATGGTCATGGTGTTCCTACCACCTTACTCTCCTTTCCTCAATCCTATTGAGGAGTATTTCTCCGCTTGGAGGTGGAGAGTGTATGAGCATCGGGCTCAAGATCAGAGGTCCCTGCTCCATGCAATGGACGCTGCGTGTGAGGATATTACAGCAGATCAGTGTAGGGGATGGTTGCGACATGCACGCCGTTTCTTCCCTCGTTGCATCGCAAGGGAGAATATACGCTGTGATGTGGACGAGAATCTGTGGCCAGACAGACAGCAGCGTGTGGATGGCCAGGAGGGTGAGGACAGCGACCAGTGAAGAACTGTTAGTTGTGAAACTCCAGCTTTATTTAC